CCCCCCCGGCCACCTTGAGGTGAGGATTCCTCAGTCACCCAAATGCCTCCAATACCCTGTGTCTGGCTCCCTGATGTCCAGTTTTGGAGAAACTGGCTTTTCCAGTTGGGCCTGGGCTGCAGCTCAAGAACCATGGCCAGGGGTTCAGGTTTCCCATTCCCAAGCACGAGAGTGACCCCAGGACCCTTTGCTGTCCCAAATGCTCCAATCCCTAAGCTGGCCTCTGAGGGACCCACCCGGCACCCTCTGGCCCTGTTGTAAGGACAGGGAGTGGTATGCAGGCCCCCAGCCCCTCCCCTCTCCTCTCCGGGGACATCTCTGCTCTCTGCTGCACTTCCAGGAAGCCTAGTTAGCTCCCCTCCCCATCCCAGCCCTAATTTGATTTGATCTCCATCTGGGGGCTGATGCAAGCTCTGTCCACCTTCCAGCCAGTGTCAGGTTTCTTGTGGCCACAGGGCCTGGGCACACCCGGAGCACAGGACCCAGGAGCCAATGCACCCAGTTGCAACAGAGGTCAGTCTTCTTTCTGTCCTCGCACAAACACATGTAAAAATTTTCAGGAATGCAAAATCCAAAGAGTAAAACTGAAGTTAAAGTGTAAAATACTAGGAGATACTTGGAGAAGTCAGGCAGCAATGATGAACTCGAGCCGGGCCCCAGAGCGGACGCTGGCCCACGGCTTCCGTACAGCCTCCCTGGAGGCTGCCCATTTGGGGTCTGAGTTTATGATTCAGTTAGCCTGTGTGTTGCCTTGCCAACCTGGCCATTCTTCTTTTTCCACTTCCAGTCTCATTTAGTTAAAAATGAAGCGTGAGGCGCCTGGTGGCTCGACTCTTGATTTTGGCTCAGGTCATGATTCCAGGGTTGTGGGGTCGAGTTCCGTCAGCGGGGAGCATGGAGCCTGCTTAAAATTCTTTCATCCTCTGCCCCTCCCCCACCCCGCTCATGCTTCCCCTCTAAAATAAAGAAATAAAACCTAACTACTAAAATGAAGTGTGGAGTTGGGTCTTTTGTGCCGGGGCAGGTGACGACAGAGGGACCAGCTCAGCAAACTCTTCCTGAGGTCACTGGGACGCAGACTCCCCTGTCTGGGCCTCCCCCCCCTTTTCCAGCCCCACCACAGGGTCAGCAAAGAGTGAGGTCCCACATCTCCGCGCTGCACCGGCTCTCTGAAGAAACTGGTGGCAAGTGTCCAGGTTTAAAGGGGCCATGGTCCCGACTGACCCTCCCTGCAGGTGAGGGCCGCTGACCCTGGGCGTGCATGCCCCGAGTGGCCCCTGGAGGACGGGCAGGCCCGCAAGGGTCGGAGGTCTTGGACTCTGAACTAAAAAGCCAGAGCAGATCCGCTAGAAGCCCAACAAAACTGCTGCTGCCGTTTTATTCCCGTCTCTTCCCCCGACCAGATCCCTCAAAGCGGAAGGAAAAAACCGACTGTCTTGCATGTGAAGGATTTCCCTATAAACCCAAGTGCTAACAGATAACGTTAAAGCCTGTGACAAACACGTGCATCCTCCCACCCATGTGCGGCAGTCTGAGCCCGGTGCTCGTGTCTGTCCCCACCCCCACCTGCAGGTTCAGAGGGCAAGGGTGCCACACCCGATTCCAGATCTTGCTGCTGCAGACAAGGTGACTGCCATGATGCAGGCCCCACCCCTGCAGACCCTACACTGACCAGGAAGTCTCCAGACAAGAAGCCTAAGTCCTGGGAACTCATTGTGGGAAAGATGTCCAGGTCCCCTCAGGGTTTGGCTCCGGATTCCCTGGAACAAGCCCACATCCTGCTGGCATCCAGCTATGAGACCGTCTCCGTGGTCACAAGTGATGAGAAGCAAGGGCTGCAAACCCCACTAGTCATCACCAGACAGAAGACCCCCTCAACAGCAGAGGAGAGAGTGACAGAGCGGGACCGCAGGGAGGGCTGTCCACTCAGCAGGAACCGCCCTGGAGACCCCTCTCAGGCCAACAGTGGGCTGCCCTGACCACAGCTGGCGGCCTAGGCAGCCCCAGGTGGAGCCACTTCCTGCTCTGGCTGGCTCGTGCTTCTCTATGTGACCTGCTCCTTTTCCTCGGTGCTCCGTCCTGGCCAGGGTCACAAGTCTGGAAGTCAGGGCAGGGAATGGGGTCGCTGCTCGACTCGCTAATGGCCCAGCTGAAGGTTCTTCTGCAGCAGCCACTCCAGGGTCTCCATGAGGTACGACATGCCATAGTGCTGGGCGATGTTCTGGAAGATTCTAATCTGGTCCATGAAGACCTGCAGAAATGACCAGAGGAGGCACAGGGATGCAAGGCACAGGCTCGGGCGTGTAGGGAGAGAGGCAGATGGCAGAGACCAGAAAGGGCAAACGGGAGGGGGGGGCAGCCAGGCCAGCCGTGGGACCCCCACCTTGGTGCGGATGGTGAGGGCGAAGTCCCCGGCACAGCTGCAGTACACAGGCATGTTGGTCTCCTTCACACCCCGGCACTTGAGGCAGATCTGCAAGGAGGAGCAGCCCCGGTCACCAGTGTCCCCTTCTGGGCCTGTGGTGGCCAGTGGTAGCCAAGAGCTCGGCATGCCCACCCACCCCATGGCCTTCAACTCAACCAGGAAAGACCAATACTTTGTAACGGGATTTATCCAAACATGCCAGCTGCTTCCTAACACCTTCCCGGGAGGGCGGGCGGCACTGCACCCTTGCCTCTGAGTCCCAGGGACCTCACCCCTGTGCCTTCCTTGGGTCTCCCTATTCCATCAGAGCAGATGTGGGCTGTTCCCTGCCCGGGCCCCGACACCCCTTCACATCCTCTCGTCAAGAACACCCCTCTATCTAATGCTGACAACGTCCCTGTTTCTCTCTCTCTTCCGTTTGTTGTCTTTACACTTGCCATGACTCTCACACTCCATCCTGCTCACCAGCTACCCTCTTCCATTACAACAAAAGGTGCATGGAGCCAGCACCCGCCCCTGCAGGGGCCCCAGAGATGTGTGACAAGGAGTCAAGAGGAGCCCTGATCCAAGGGCTGGCCACCTCAGAGCACTGAGTCGGGACTTGAGAACTGTGCACACCTGTGGCTTCTCGGGGTGCAAATCGCTCATCAGGAAGCCCTCTGCCCGCTGGAGAGGGGGCTGGGGTGGAGTCCCCCACGCCAGGCCTGCCACTCACCAGGTCCTGCAGAGTGAAGGCCATCAGTTTCTTCTGCACGGCTTCCACCAGGGCCATCTCGATGACTGATGAGTCATAGGCAACCAGGCAGTTGGAGCAGAGCCACTGAGGCAGCACAGCCCCGTCCTAGGCAGGGGAGGAGGAGGCCGGGTCAGCGGTCCGCCCAGCCTTCCTCAGCAGCCAGGGCTTCCCAGGGGCTGGGCAGGGACCGTGCAGAGCCAGCTGGGGAGCCGGGGGGGAGGGGGCTGCCGGCCCGCACGCACCACCGTCACCGCCACCGTCTATCAGGACACCGCACCGGCACACAGGAAAGGTGTCTGAGAGCCTCCCGGCCCCGCCCACCTGAGAGAAGGAGGGCTCTTTGCACAGGTCCAGGTCCCGGCAGAAGTTACAGCTGCGGCAGATGACCTCAGGGAGCACGTAGGAACGGCAGGGGTCTCGGAACTGGGCCTCCTCTGAGAACTCGCCAACGTCCACCAGGCGCAGCAGGTCCCGGTTCAGCTTGTTCACCTGGTTCGTGATGTTCGTGTCCAGAGACAGAACCTACAAAGAACAGAGCATCAGTGATGGCCTCGCGGGCCGGTCTCTATCGGGAGCGGAAAAGCCTGCAGCGGACTCTTCAGGCTGCAGCTTCTCAGCACCGCGCCCTCCTTCTCCCGCTGGAAGTGAGGGGGGCTTCCTCAGTGCGGCCCTGCGAGCAGGTTCCGTCAGCTCCGGGGGACGGGGGCACTACGTGCTCTTCCTGTCGTCCTTCCTGGCTCCCTCCTCCTCAAGGACAGGAAGTCCTAAATCTGCGGGGCCGCACGGTCTCATCGGCAGAGTGCGTGCTCTCAGCCCCGACAGTGGGGGTTCCCGTGCCAGCCCGGAGCCCGCTGGGAAGCCTGGCTCTCGTGGTGGTGCCTGCAGAACCACAGGTGAGGTGTCTCTTCCTTTTGTCCATAATGGAGAGGACAGGACAGGACAGACCTCTTTAGAGATCCCTCCCACCACTAAAACTCTACTGTCCCAGCTCAACACCAAGAACACCACAGAACCAAAGCCCTCTTAGAAGACATTTTTGGGAGAACTATTTATGGTCAGATTCGAAGCCCGCCACCCCATTCAGTGAGACAAGTAGATTTCAGCAAGCAGGTAAATTTGCAAGTATGTACAATGAGGAGCGACAGCCTGTTAGTATGAAGCTGTTTGCTTAAAGCATATAGTTTATCTCCATTATAAAAAAAAAAAACTGGATTGAATTAAAGAGGAAAACAAAGAGAAAAGATTTCACTGGTAAATTTACCAAACATGAAGCAAAAAAAAAAGTATTCTACACAGTATCTTCCAGGAAGCCCAAAAGGGAAAACACTTCTAGCTCGTTTATGAGGCTATCATCATCCTGATACCAAAGACAGCACAAGAAAACAGCAGACCAACCACCATCATGTGCACTCAAAAATCCTCAACAATACCAGCAAATTGAACCCACCAATGTATAAAAAGGATGATATGTCACAACCAAGTGCGATTTACTCCAAGAATACAAGCAAGGCTGGATTAATACTTAAAAATCAGTGTCATGTCCAGATGGCCATCAGACATATGAAAGATGCTCAACGTCACTCATCATTAGGGAAATACAAACCAAAATCACAATGACGTATCCCCTCACAGCTGCCCGAATGGGCAAAATAAAAAAAACACAAGACGTAACAATGTTGGTGAGGATGCGAAGAAAAGGGACGCTCTTACACTATCACTGGGAATGCAAACTGGTGTAGCCACTCTGGAGAATAGTATGGAGTTCCTCAAAAAGTTAAAAATAAAATCACGCTATGATCCAATAATTCCACTACTGAGTATTTACTCAAAGAATAAGCAAACACTGATTCAAAAAGATATACGCACCCCTGTGTTTACTGCAGCATTTTTTACAATAGCCAACTTATGGAAGCAACCCAAATGTCCACCGATAAACGAATGGCCAAAAAAGATGTGACACAAGATACAAATATCCACGTATCTCCATATATTAGCAGTGAACAACCGGAAACTGAAGTTTTAAAAAGTCAGTGCTATTACGATGGCACCAAACAGCCTGAAAACCTTAGGTGCAAATACTGAAAACCCCAAACACTGATGAAGAAAATCAGAGGCGACCTAAATAAATGGAAAGAGATAGTGGTTCATGAATCAGGAGTCTCAACACTAAGATGTTGTGGGTGCCCAGGTGGCTCAGTCAGTTAAGCGTTCATTGGACTCCTGATTTCAGCTCAGGTCATGATCGCATGTTCGTGAGTTTGAGTCCCACGTCGGGCTCTGCACTGACAGTGCAGAGCCTGCTTGGGATTCTCTCTCATCTGCCCCTCCCCTCCTTGTGCTTCTGCGCTCTCTCTCAAAATAAATAAATAAACATTAAAAAAACCCCAAGATGTTAATTCTCCCTAAGTTAATCTATAGATTAAAATGATTCTAGGGATACCTAGGCGGTTCAGTTGGTTGAGTGTCCAACTTCAGCACAAGTCATGATATCATGGTTTGTGGGTTCCAATCCACACAGAGCCCGCTTTATTTCTTCTGTGCCCCTCCTCTCCCTCTGTCCCCCTCTCCCTCTCTGCACCTCCCCAACTTGCCACCGCGTGGAGGACCGCATGTCCACTCTGTGTGTGCCGTGAAAGGAGCCAGACCTAACCGGCCACATAATCCACAACGTGGGATTCTGGAAGAGGTGGCCGTGCAAGGGCAGATCAGTGGTTCGGGGGGAGTTAGCTCAGGTGGAGACCGTTTGAACCTGCCCGCAGCACAGCCCCATCGCTCTGTGAAAGCTTGAACAACTCACTGCACAGACTGAATGTGACTGGGTCAACTTTAGAGAGTGCACGGACATCAGACAGACAGATCAGCGCGTGGCAGGGGTGGGTGCGATGTTTGCGGAACGGTGAAATGCCCTGCATCCTGCCTCTGCCACAACTCACAGAACACACACTCACAATGGTGAAATCTCACCGTACGTAAGCTATACCTGAGTAAAAATAAATTTTAAAAACCCTGGAGCCTAACAGAAGAATAAGATGGCAAACTAAACTATTTCTGCACCACAACCAGAAGTCACCTGATCCTGGAGCATCCTGTAACTGAATGCCCAGGAAAGTGCTCTCTGAGGGGTGACACCTGCACAGTCGCTATCTGGTAATATTATCCCATCGCTGACTCCGCCCACCTTTCCCAGAAAGCATTTAGCATCCGAGCAAGCTCTCCTCTGTGATTTCACCACAGCCTGCTCATTGTGGGAGACTGTTCCTGGTCCCGGCCCTTGGCCCCACCAGATCCACAAGCACCGCCATTTCACAACTCGCCCACTCAGCAGGTGCCTCTCACCAGCACCCCCAGACCATCCTACCCCAGGGCCTTTGCACCCTCAGGTTCTTCTTCAGGTCCGCACACGGCTGGACCCTCCTGCTCAATGTGGTCTCAGGCCCCAACTTCCTCATCTACCCTGCCCTTCTGAGGCCACCTCAGCCCGCCTCCCCTCTCTGGGCTCACCTGTCCCTGACTGACTTGTCCTCGCCCTCACTGGAGCACAGGCTCCGTGAGGACAGTGGGGGCTCTGGTCTCCTCCCACTTCTAGCCCCAAATGCCTCACACAGCAGATGCAAGGAATGAGCAGTTAGAGTTCGTGGAATCAACAAGATTGTACTCCTGGCACCCTCGCTTCCCACACACACTGACACTCTTGTGAGTGCTCGCATTAGCGTTAAGCATCTCTGCCCCGCACACGTGTCGCGGCCTCACCTTGCACACGTATTTGATGAACTCCAGCGCAGGGTTATTGAGCAGCAAGTGAGAACCAGGGAGGACAGGGAACATTTTTGAGAGCTCAGTGGCGTTCCGGGAACCCGTGACTTTCTTCTGAATCTTCTGAGTGATGGTGAAGAAGTTCTGAGTGAGTTCATTTGCCACGTAATCTTGAGAGAAGGTGATCACTCCTGGGAAGGAAAGGGATGCGGCACATGCTCCCCATTTTGCAGTGATAAGGACACTAAGGGAAGGACACGGGGACCCCCAGAGCAGAGGGCTCAGGTTCTAGGGACAGAGGGGTGGCCTCAGGCAGCAAGGGGGTGCTCACCAGGAAGGGCTCCGGCCACCGCCTGGGCCTCTTGGGAGAGCTGGCTGGGCCCCCTCCTCCGCAGGGGGGTGCTCCCCGGGACACTGCGCCTCAGCTCCTCCTTCATGCTGTGATACACGGCCACAATGTATGCTGCAGAGACAGGCCACAGGCCTTGAGAGTCAGGACCCAGGGGGCCCTGTGGCCGGTCAGACCTCCAGCCAGCCTGGGCTGAAATATCATTACTAGTTGTGACTCTTGGCTGCATTTGGACGAGCCAAAATCAATTGGAAAAATGGGAATAAACAGGGCACTTACTGAGGCCCAAGTCCAAGTGCACCTTAGTAGGGAGAGTGCCGTGTAAGCCACACTCACCAACCTTCCTGCCGCACAGTGACACAGTGACAAAACATGGCTCATAACAAACACAAGTCTAGGCTCCTGGTGTCGGCACGCCTTCTGAGGTAGCCCCCCAGGAGTTCCAAAAGAGAAGTAGAGAGAGACTCAAGGGCGAGCACACATGCGGTTATAAACGAAACCACCGCTGTGGCTGCACATCGCTAGGTCTGAGTGGTGTTCCCGGCCCTCGCCACCTGCTCTCCCCTAATGACGAGCTCTGTGTGACACAGTGTAATGTATACACTTTGTGTGCATGTGATCTCAGACACCCTGGTTTGTAAACACCGAACCTTTATTAACACTGCACCTCTAGACCCAAGTCAGATACAGAAGATTCTGACACAGAAGTTGAGCCTCAAAGACCAGCCAGTGGGCAACTGATTCAGGAAGTTTCCAACCTTCTGTACTTGGTGTTTACTTTTACTTGCTCTGTGTGCACACGCAAGTCCTAGGACCTGCGGACACGCCCCAGGGCAGAGGACAGGGGTCCAGCCCCGCAAGGCCGGTGCAGCCAGTGCACGCCCACCAGACTTGACTTCCCCTTTACCTCCTTGCTATGCAAACACGCCAGAGCCACATTACTCCCACCGCCAGACTCCGACGCAAGCTAGCGGGCCGGCTCACCCGAAACGATCATGAGGAAGTAGCTCTGGCAGGAGGCTGCCTGTGGCAGGAACTGCACGATGTTCCAGTTGTTTTCTAGCATGTCCTCCACGTCGGGCTCCTGGGCACCTTCCTCCTCCTCCTCCTCCTCCTCCTCCTCCCCACCTTCCTCCTCCTCCTCCTCCTCCTCCTCTTCTCTGCCTTCTTTTCGGGAGTCTTGCTGTAACACAGACGCAACACACCTGAGTCATTCTACACCTGGGTCTACTGACCCCTTGTGCCTCGTGAGATGCTCATCGAGTCGTTCCACATCCCTGAGCCTGAGTCAAAGTCCCGCAGGATGGCTCTAAGGACGAGGCCACTTAGGAGATGAAGCTGCTTAGGTAACGCACCCGGTGTGTACTCAGCAAACGCTGATCGTGATTCTCACTTTGTTCTTCCAGTGAATTCACTTCAGAATTCTTTAACTCCCACCTCCCAGGTAGGGAAGATTCACGAGTGGGTGACCTTGGGTGACTAGATCTCTTGTCTGAATCCCACACGTCCTGGGACGGTGACAATCCTACCCGAGGGGCCCTACTGCAGATATCTCCCGCATGACCAAATTCCCCTCTCAGTGGCGCCTTCCACGTCAACGTGTGAACTCCGGCATCCCCCACACCCTTCAAGCAGCATCCACTGCCTTCTCCTGATTCAGCTACGATACCTGCACTTCCCTCCCATCGAGGTCTCCACAGACCTCCTGTCCCAGCACTGAGGACGGCCGGACCTTGTGCACACGCCACACACCCTGGCCAGGCTTGGCTCCTCTCACCCTACACGTGCTCTCCTGCCCCATCCATCTTATCGTAGACGCGTGGCTCCACACCCCGGGGTGCACCCACACCCCCAGGTGTCACCTCCATCCATTCCATTGGCTTGTACACTCCACCTTCAAAACCCACCCAAGTCCTTCTCCCAGACTCCACCCTGCCCCCCACCCTCCCCTGGGCTGATGCTAACTGGGCTCCTACTGAAGCCTTGATCTCCTACGCTGTTGTCGACAACACGGGGCCCTAGTGGGGGCCCTGACGTGCTCCTGCTCAGAGTCTCTTTGTCACTAAAAGCCAAGACTCCAACTCGGCCTTTGGGCCCAAGGAGGCTGCCTGTGGCAGGAACCGTACGATGTTCCAGTTCTTTTCCTGGCTGCTCTGTGGTACCCGTGACCCCCGCCCAGCCCTGCTCTGTTGTCGTGGCTACGCTGACACTGCACCCCCGGCCCAGTTCTTCATTCCCTGCTTGCCTGTCCCCTCTTTAGAGGCCTCTGTGACGGTCCCACCTAAGTCAGCCCCCTGCCCCACAGCCCGCTCTCTGCCCTCCCTCAGCCCCTACCGTTGCCAGTGCTGCACGTTCCCCATCTGCCCATTTGCTCACCTCTTCCCTCACAGATCCCCCCGGGGGCAGCACGCTCTTGCGGGAACGGCTGCGGGATGGGGCCCAGAACTGGGCCAGGCGCTGGACCCATGAGCACCAAACATGTGCAAAGAGACAAAGACGGGCCCCAAAGCTGTCTCAGACCCCAGCCTGGGCTCTCCAGACTGTGACATCTTACCTGTCCACAGTGAATACTAGATGGGACGTTTCCTTTGATTCCACCATAGTTAGAGGGATCCATCCAGAGAAGAAACTCCCAGCACCGAGAGAAAGAAATCGTCAAGGAATGGAAGATCTCTTTAGAATGGACGCTGAAAAGAAGCCAAATAGAAACTGCTTACATGAAATCATTTTTTTCTCCACTCTCCTCCTTTTATTTTCGTACCTGCTTACCCTTCACTTCTTAACAAAAACTTACGGTGGATTCAAACTATATCAGCCCTCCAACTTTCCAGAGGACGTGATAAACCCGACGCTAAGGCGACTTCTGCACCAAGCAAGAGGGAGCGGCAGGGACCCGTGCTGAGGGACCAGAGAAGCAAGAGCCCCTCTGTGTGCAAGGAGACTACACAGAGCAGGCACAAGGACCGCTGAGTGCCCGCTCCCACCGCTGTCCGAGAGCCTCAGGACTCACAAGGTGCCCAGGGCTGCACTCACAGCAATCTTGCTTCCCCAGTGAGCAACAGTGAGCTCTAGACTAAACATGGCTCCGGCCCAGCCTACCTATAAATCACAAAAAATGCTCAAAAGGCCAATGTGTTTCCAAGTTAGAAAGCTCTAGAACATCTACAGAAGAATGAAACGCCAAGGTATCCATGAGACAAGGCATTCACGTGTGTTCACAACTGCCGACATCCATTGCGGTATCACCAGGCTCCCAGGCAATGCGGAATCGGGAGAAAAACCTACCACTGAATACAAATCAGAACTGACACAAGTGTTTTACTGAGCAAAGCAGGACACTGAAATGGTTATTGACCCCGGATTCTAGTCGTAAAGCTAGAGGAAAGACAGAGCAGGCTCAGCAGACTCTAGGAATACTAAGACCCAGCTAGGCTTACAGACACGTGAGAGGAAAACCACCCTGGACGGGATGAACGGCAGACTAAACACTGCAGGAAAGGATTAGCAACTTTAAGGACACAACAAAGGAAATTACCCAAAAAGAAACACAGAGAGAAATAAAACTTTCAAAACAGATCTAACTATAATTCTATACCAGCAACGAGATCTCCCAAAAATAAAGGTAAAATAAAGGCTTCTTTGGACATCCAGTGGCAGAAAGAATTCATTACGAACAGATCCATGCTACGAGTGATTTACAGGAAGTCCCTCCGCAGAAGGGAAAGGACACCAGATCAGAACACAAAGGAAGGCAGAATTCTAGAAATGTAAACACCTGTTGGTGATGTACTCCACGTAGGCAATGGCGTCTGCGACCCGCCGCTTCTTCGTGCAGAGGATGATGCGGTTGAAGTTGGCATAGACGACAGAGGACCCCAAGCGCTTGAACTCAGCGATGAGCCTGTAGACCAAGGTCACAATCACCAGTCGCGATGCCACAGAGGACACCACAAGACATCATGGGAAAACAAGCTAAGGATCCTAAACGAAAAAGCTATTCTAAATATGCCTGAAATCCAGACGCAACGGAGTGAAGATTTCTCAGGACAAAACAAATACTTGTTTCTTTCATAAACAAAGCCAAAGAGAATCAAAAACAGGAGAAAACATGCTATCACATCACACAAAAATGGCTAATTTTTACGTAGAAACAACTCCTATAAATCAATGAGGAAAGAAACCAACAAAACTACAGAAAAACGGACAAAGGATATAAAAAGAAAGTTCAAATTCATTTATGAGTACTGCAGAGCAAGAGTACACTGGATTAGCACTTCACCACACGAGGCTGGCCCCAGTGTCTGCCGTGCTGGTGGGGCTGCGGACACACATTCTCAGTCTCTGTTGGACACACAAACAACTGTACAACTTCCACGGAGAGCCCTTTGTCGCTAAGAATCAAATTAGCGTTTTCCTATCCAGTCAAGAGATCTATCAAACCTGCACCAGTGCTTTTGCTAGAGATTATTCCAGAGATGTGTTCCCGTGACCTTGGGCACACGGCCATTCTTGCTTGGTGATCTGTAACAGCCTGAGTTCTGGAAGCAGCCCGAGTGCCCATTAGGATGATACATCCACACATGGGTCTCCAATATCTGCTCTTAACTACAGGTGCAGAACACACACACAGGGCATGAAGACTTGTGCCAACAGGACGCAGAAAGACCCCAGCACACGGCACACCTGTGCAGGATGCTGAGCAGGCTGGGACAGCAGCTAAGCACTCCCTGGGACCTTTACCACCATGGACCACTAGCCCGGGGCGTCGGCCGGCCATTCCTGTGGATTTGGGGACGGGGTGGGGGGGGGCTGGGGTCAGCAGGGCCTAGAGCAAGCCGCTGGCAGCACTCACTGCAGGAAGAGCTTCTTCATCATGTTGTGGAGCGTGCGGTGCAGGGCGGGGTCGTGCAGCAGCGAGGATGGGGACCGGAGCCAGCGGTAGAAGTGCATCACCTGGTTGTCAGCGTAGATATTGCGGTACTGTGTGATCTCCTTCACCCAGCCCACCACCATGCTCTTCAGGATCCTGGAAGAAAGGCATGGAGGGTGGCCCTTCGTCCCTGATACCAGCTTCCCCCTGTTGTGCTGTCACCTCTGCCCCCTCTCCTCACTGTCCAAACCCTATCACTGGGCCCTCATGTGCGCCCTCAGGCCTCACTCTGCACTCAACGCCTACAACACACCAGTGGCCACAGGAAGGGGCCAGAATGGTGCCCGGAGGGCAGCAAAGCCCAGCGACTAGAGGAAAGAGCTTGGCCCCATATGGGGTGCTGGTTCTGCCGCCCTGGGGGAGAAGCCCCAGTGACAACGTCTTAGCTCTTAGTTTTCCAAAACGAGGGCAGAGGATAAATAGGTTTCTAATGTTCCTTCTAAATCCCAAGCCCAGCCATCCTGCCTAGGGAGAGGACTGGGCACACGAACAAAAGACCAGGCTGTGCTCTCAGGGCACCTGAACGTGCTGGAGCAGAGGGCTGTCTCATCGTAGCTGGCCGGGGTGCCGGCGGCCTGATTGCCGGTGATCATGTCCTCCAGGGAGGCCTGCTGGATCACGTCGAAGCTGATGCCCACGCTGTCAGCCCCCTCCATGTCATTGATGTGGTGGGACTGCAAGATGGTGTTGACGGCCAGGTTCTGGATGTCCAGCTCCACGCACACTGCACACAGAGACACCCCTGTGGTGCCCATGGGCCGACTGCAGCAAGTGCTACCTCAGGAAACACACCGCTCCCGGGGCAGCCGGGCTGGCTGACAAGCCTGTCACTGAGCGACTAAAGAGCCCAGCCCCGCTCGTCCCACACCCACGGATGCTGCTGCAGGCTCAGTGCCCACACTGTCACGGCCGAGCGCGGAGCATCCGCCACTGGGCGTTCCCGCCACCACAGAATGGCAATGCGTGGCGGAAACGCCAGCAGCCGGGGACCCCCGGTGCCTCAAGCACCTACGCGTGGAGTAGCAGCCCGGACAGTTGATCTCCACGCTGGCCTGGTCGTCGAACTCCATGACGAGGCGATTGTCGTCGGCCTCCTTGCCGCCCAGGTCAGGGCGCGCCGTGGGGGACAGCCAGAGCAGGTGGTTGTGGCGCTGCAGGTGGCGGGCAAAGAAGAGGTCGGAGCCGAAGGTGGAGATGTCTTCGGGCAGGTTCCCAATGGGGATGTGGAAGTACCTGCAGAGGGCACGGGGTCAGCCCCAGGGAAGGGATGGACGAACCGGGAACAGCCAGAGCCCAGAAACGGAGAAATGCCCTCCGCCCCCCTCACCTGCTCATCTCGAAGGCCTGGGACAGGCAGGTGTCCAGGTTGAGGTAGTGGCGGATCATGCGCCGGGCACCGAGGCGCTGCCAGTCCAGGACTCCATAGCTGACCCTATCAGCCACGCGGACCGGCACCAGCGGGAAGTCCTCCAGGATGGGCACCTCGCCAGCCAGCCTCTTCAGCTCCCAGTTGGACTGAACAGCGATGAGTGTGGGCCCACGGCGCTCCTCCTGGACGTAAGGGAAGCAAGCGGCTGGCGGGGAGGGGGCGTTGGGGGGAGGGGCTCACACACAGAAGCCCCACCCCACTCACCTTGTAGGCCAGCAGGAAGCGCTGGATGGCTCTGCAGATGGTTTTCAAGTCGGTTTCAGCCCGAACTTCAAAAGTGTGTTTGGGGGGAGGCAGGAGCTCGGGGCCCACCTTCTCCATCAGGAGGCTGTGCTCGGCGGTGTACAGGGCGCTGAGGCTGGGCATCTGGTTGCTTCGCACCTGGACAGTGGGGGCCGTGTCAGCCCTCTCCCCACGCAGGTGCTGCCGCAGGGACCCCTTTGTGGCTCCACTTCAAAAGCCATCACCACAGGCACCGGGGGCAGAGGCCCGTCCCGCCCAGGGGCCTGTCCCTCCCCGAGCCCCTCGCCAGGAACTCACGGTGTCCAGCACGAACACAGACGCCCTGCGCTGGGAGGGCACAAACAGGCCAAAGAGCGCCTTGTGGCCTTGCGCGTGGTGGTACAGGTAGAGGTGGCGGATGCTCCCTGCAGGGCAACACGGCCGTCACCCCAACGTGCGTGGGAGGCCGGGCCGGGCAAAGGCAGCGGGCACACGTCCTACCTGGTTCCAAGTAGCTGAACTGGGCCAGAGAGCGCATCTCCAAGTGCTCGAGAGCAAAGGTTTCTGCTTCTCGGCCTGAAAGGTGTCTCACCAGCTGTTTATTGACCACACACACACAGCCCAGCTGCACCAGGGCCCGGAACAATAACGGAACCTGGGAGAGGGGTGGACAGGACAGGGTGAGGCCACTGCCCGCGTGTCCTCAGCAGACACGCTGCCGGAGTTCACCGGGAAGGCGGCCCAGAGCCGGGCTGCTAGCCCGTCCACACCATACGCAATTTTGCTTCCTCCATTCCATCCAGCTGGGAAGATGATCACCTGTGTCTCGTACACGCCCTCGATGTCTGGGGCCGACAATTCAGTATTGATCTCGTTGACGTGTTCCTGATACATGTCCTCGGGCACCGAGTACTCGTAGAGGTTGTAGACCACGTTGGAGCGAGGAAGCACTCGACTGACCTGGTGAAACAGGGCGCCAGCCTGGTCACAAGGCTCACCGGTGACGTCTGTTGAACTCGCATACTCCGTGCATCCCTTAAATAGTCCTAGGGCTTGTGTAGCCGCAGCCACACGTGAGCCCCTCAGAGCCCGTCTCTCCTCACAGGTAAAACTAAACCTGGAAGCTGGGGCTGTAGGCTCAAAAAGCAGCCTGGGGCTTATGAAAAGCAGAGGAGCTTTGGGGCAGTGAGGGGAGCAGGTGTCCCCAGGTTATTTTCCTGTTGTCTGCCAGTCAGAGGACGGGTGTGGGGGAGCCAGAGAGCGGAGCAGAGCAGGGCACCCAAAGGGAAAACCTCCCCACAGAAAAAAGTGTTCTCTGAGGTTACAATGCGGCATCGCATCCAGAAAAGCGACAGGAATCCCAGACCATCTGTTCTCCGCCTTCACGCGCCCTGCCCTTTCCAGGGCCGCACGCCCCTGAATCCTGGTGGGGGCAGAGTCCCACCTTCTCCAGAAAGCCTCTGCAGTCTAGTCTCAGTTACAAACTCCCACATCTCGTCGCAACTAGACGTCAGCGCATTCCGCGTGTCCCAGCACCCACTGAGAAATGCGCACGACAGCCTCAGTAAACGAGCTTCAGGCAGAACTAAACTAGCCGGACTCCACGACAGGCTAACCTACAGGCAGAACCCAGGTGTCGAGGGAACGGTGGTGAGCCAGGGCCGGGGGAGGGGACGATCTGCAAAGGGTCCCAGTTTGTTCTGAGGGAGATAAAACGCTCGAGGACTGGCTGTGGCAGAGGCTGCAGGACGGGACGCACGGAAAGCCACTGAACCGCACGCTTTCACCAAGGGAACCCTGAGGCGTGAGAAGTCTGTCCAGGGAGGCTGCTGACATGAGAAGCGCCTATGGAAACAGACTCCAGCCACTGACACTCGTCCCCCTCGTCCCTCCCCTGCTACACAGACATCGGATGTAAGAGGATGGCACCCCCAGGACACCGGCAACTGCAGCCCCTGAGCGTTCGCTCTGAGCCCGGTGCTCCACAGACACCGTTTCACTCCTCACAGCACCCCAAGAAAGTGCTCCAGCACACCCGGCTCAGCGTCACAGCTCACCAGGCTTTTGCGTCCACAAAGCCCCATCCTTTATGTGGCTCCCTCATCGCTGGGGACACCACCTCAGAGGCGGAGCAGACAGCTGACCACAGTGACCAGCAGTATCTGCTGCCCCGTACCTTGCGGTATGAAGGCCCCTCCTCGGCTTTAGCCACCCGCTGGTTAACATAGAACTGGCGGGGGATGTTCAGCCTGATGCAGTACAAGTCACTGCTGATGACGGCCCACAGCCTGAACAAGCCGGCCTGGCTGGTCTCACTGATCTGGAACGGAGAGAGCAGACCACGTGTCACCTCAACACAAACCGTGTTCACACTCCTGAGTGCTCTCCGGCACCAGCCCCAATCACAGGGCACAAAAGTAACGGAGGGTCCCCAGGATCGTGAGCCGGCCAGACACCCCTTCCCATCGGCTGTGATGCTGCCCTTGGGGGGCATCCCACCCCCCAAACTGATGGCAGTCTGCACCTGCACAATCTGCCACGGAAGGTCCAAAATGCTGCGGGCGGCTCTTTGCAAGAAGCCCCCCAGCCCGGTGGCAGGCCTGTCGCGGACAGCCCCAGGCCGAGGGTCACCCTCTGCCACCTCCAGACGCCGCCTCTTCTTGCGACCCAGGCGCTGCCGGGCCTGCAGCTGCCACTTCTTCTTGTGGAATCGGAGCCAGACCAGCCACTCTTCCTAGGGCAGACGGTGAAGCAAGTCAGGAAGAGGGGGCAGTCAACACAACCCAGGGGCACGCGGTAAAGCAGAAACAGCCTTGCACAGCAACTGCATTAAACAGCTTCCCAGCGCAGGTGTCTCTGGTGAGGACGCCTCTCACCCATGCAGGACCCCGGAGCTACGTAGCAGACTCCACGGGAGACCTCAAGCTACAGCTCGGGCCAGGCTGCTGCCCCCGCCCCCTCCCACCGGCCACGTCGACGTGTCACCTGCGTGGTCCCGAGGGCCGGAGGCGGCCCCAAGATCTCCTGCCAGGGCACCGTCAGCTCCAGGTCCTGCGACTCCCCCTGGCTCTCCCAGAGGACGCGCTTCCTCCTGGTGGCAACAGGAACCACTGAGCGCGGTGGCTTTGCCAGGCCGAGGTCTTCCATGTCCGGAGCACCAAGGCTCTGTGTGCCTTCTGGAGCCTGGGCCACGCCCACCTGCAAAGACCCAGGAGACTGAAAACACCACGATTTCTCAGGAAACTCCACCTCTAGAAATACACATGTGGGATCAAATGAATAGGCTAAGATACTTGTACACAAAGATGTGCATCTACTGACTGATCTGGTTCCGATTTCTAATAGCGAAAAGGTCAAATAGAAAATATCAGTCGAGTACGACTATTTTTCCCTTGTTTGCTCTGGGATTCGCTCCTTTTCGTAAGACAGAATAAAATACTGCAGAGAACAGGTCCTCTCTTTTCCTTCCCAGCCCCCAGTGCTCTAGTTTACAGTGTGCTTTTGGGGGGGGTGGGGAAAAAAACAATAGTGAAAATAAAGTTCACTTTGCATTTCCAGCAGCTGAGAATTTCCTTTTGGCTCCCCTGACTTCAGCTAAGCCCTTCGTTACACTGTCTTTAGTACTGTCTAGTGTTTCTATAGGTTTTTACTTCACAGTTTAGAAAACAGGAGTCCCAAGGCACACTGACGCACTGAGTCCCTGAGCCCAGTTACTGCTCTATTCATACAGAAAACAGTCCTTATCCCTGACAGAAGGCCCAAGGCTTCCTATGCCAGAAGACCCCCTCCCCCCCAGGTGGAAAGAGTTGTCTGTCAGGTACACAGTTCTAGAAAGAAAGAAAAGAAAAGAAACACTCTAGACACTTGAATGGGAGCATCCAAGCCTGGGTCGCATGGGGCCCCCACGAGGCCCGACAGGCACGGCTCGGCGGCCCTGGGCCCGCTACCTGTCTCCGGCCTTCGAGGACAAAAAGCTCACTGATCTTCTTCTGCTTGCAGATGTCATTCTTCTCCAGAAGTTTCTTGTGCAGCCAGTCAGGGTGCTTGACGCGTGGCACCGGGTTCTTCACCTACAAGCAGGTGACACCGATCCCTTACCGATCACTTGTCTGACTGCTGGTAGGGGCCAGGCCCAGGCTTCCATGGCTTCTGAGCCACATCAGGCCCTGTCTGCATGGGCGGGGCCTCACCTGCTGCAGGGCCGCAGGGATTGTGATGATCTTCTGTATGGCACTGCCTAGCCGCTCAATGTAGTAGTCCCAGTCCAGGATCTGGGTGCGCACAAGGAGAAACGTAAGAGGAAAGCAGCAGCAGCCCCGTGCTCCACTCTATACTGAGCACCACACTGAATGCTTCCTGTGTCATACTTATCCCAGCTAGAAATTCTGGGGCAAGAGGTACCCATTTCACAGAGAAGGAAACTGAGGCAGAACACTTAAAGAAAGGACTCCCAGGATGACAGTTAGTAGCTGGCTGAGCCAGCACAAGAACCCTGCACCAGAATCTAAGCGCTGCCCGGCACTAGTTTTTCTGGTTTTGTCCTTAAGTGGAACTACTTCCTCACCCACTGTGTACAGAGAGGAGGACGTCGAGGGTGGAGACTCAGACAGAACGATGACCCGAGTCAGGGATACTGTGCTGTCGACTCCTCCTCCCAAACTTCTCAGTACAGAAGTCAGCACTCACTGTCCGAATATCGAAGTCTTGGAGGGAAGAACTCTTAAGCCATTTCCGGAGAAAATGCTTCCTCACCATGGGCTCTGCCTGGAAAATGGCGAGTGGGATGGCCCTGGGTGAAAAGAGGCACAAAACTCACAAACACGGAAATCTCTCCAACTCTGTACAGCGTTGACCACGTACATGTATTTCACATGGAAATAAGGACTTAGAACCTAGATTGTAACCTCTTTTATTTAATGTCATTGTTTTGTATAAACTACAGCTAATATCTAATGTTTATCATATTCAATAACCAAATAATCCTTCACTGTATTAAAATACCACGGATTAATGCACGATCCCCCCCACTGGTGGCCGTTTGGTCTGTGTTGTTTGACCACTGTTCACAGAGCTATTGCCAAAGCCCTCCCCTAAATTACATATCCGTGTGCGTGCATGTAATTAGACATTTCTAAAATGTTACTCATTGAGTAAGATACAGAAAGGTCTATCTGCTTTCCTGAAAGAATGCGCCAGTTTTCATGGTACTAACAAGGCTACAGGGCAACTGTTAATACCTTTCCTTTCACTGGAGGAAACAGTTGTTTCTGTGATTTTTATAAACACAAAGAAACTTAGAACACAACAAACCCCTGTGCACCTATCACCTAGTCGTATCAAACTTCATGCCTTGCCATTTTACTTCACATTTGAGAAAACAGATACAAGGAAGAGGCCCTGTGCAGCAATCCTGACTGTCCTCACAGAGATAAACATGGTCCCTGTCTTGGCGTTTACCGATCCTACGCCTGCTCCCATACTACTCTCGTCCGTACGTAAGTGTAAACAAGAGCGTTGTCCATGTCTGTAAATTTTATACAGATGGAAGTAGACTGCCTGTGCCAGCCCGCGCATTTACCATGCAGCTGCGATTCAATCGTTCCAATGCCCGCATAGCATTTCACTGCATTAAAAACACATTTGCCCATTTTCTGATTGAGGGACACTACGGCATTCCCAACGTTTGCTATTAAACACAATGTAAACCACAGGGGCAATCATCCAGGACACATCCCCAGACGTGCTCAATTGTGAGGGGAATCAGGCACCATCTAATGCATCGTGCACTGCTGGCTTCTCCAAAGTGACTGTCACAATGCTGTGTACATGTGGGACGACTGGTATTAACACACTTGTTTCCCAATTACAGTGAATTTGCACATCTTTACATGCACTGACCATCAACTTCACTTGCAAATTGCCTGTTCACAGAAGTTGCCTACTTTCTGTGTTGCCATTTTCTTTTTTTATTTAAGAATTTTTTTTATTTAAAAAAATTTTTTTTTATTAAAAAATTTTTTTTTCAACGTTTATTTTTGGGACAGAGAGAGACAGAGCATGAACAGGGGAGGGGCAGAGAGAGAGGGAGACACAGAATCGGAAACAGGCTCCAGGCTCTGAGCCATCAGCCCAGAGCCCGACGCGGGGCTCGAACTCACGGACCGCGAGATCGTGACCTGGCTGAAGTCGGACGCTTAACCGACTGCGCCACCCAGGCGCCCCTGGGAATTTCTTTTTAAGGAAATATTTGCTGTGTTTCATTCATTTGCTCCCCACCCCCTCCACTCCAGACCTTCCCAGTGTAGGTGAAAACGCGGATTACTGACGTGTCTAGCTTTATCAGTTACCTACTGCTATATTACAAACCACCTCAAACTCCATGGATCGAAACAGTAACTGTTTTGGCTTATGAGCCTATGATTGAGGTGGTTCTGCCCGGGGTCACTTGTGTGGCCACTGTGGCTCCCCTGCAGGTGTGGCAGCTACTGCAGTTACCTGGTGCTGCCTCTGCAAGGGGCCTCCAGCAGGCTGACCAGGCAGCCAAAGGGCAAGAGCAGAAGCATGAGGCCTCCTGCAACCAGGGTTCACTCCTGCCACATTGCACAGGCCGCAGCAAGTCACGACTGCCCAGACTCTGTGCAAGGGAAGGAGTGTCACGGGAGGAACGAGGCCCTGTCACAAATGGTCACGGAAGCACTGCTGTGGCCATCTCTGAAACATTTTCTCTTGTTGGTGCTTAGCACTTCCTCCATCTGCCCGCTGTTCTCAAGGCTTGTCCGCGGAACCACTTCTAGTCCCTGAGCTCTTGGTGGGAAATTCTGCCGTGGTTATACAATGATTCGCAGGAAGAAAACCTATTGTTCTAGAAATCCATGCCCTCAACACAGTTTTTTCCTGTTCCATTCACACGGTCCCTGCACGGTTCAAGCAGCCTGATGAGCGACAGGGTGACAGGAGAACCACTGCTGACCCCGAAGATTCCGTAGTTGGGAGTGGAAGATGCCGTCTGACAGAACCCTTTGCTGTCACGCTGAACGTGTTTCAGAAGCTGGAAGACATTTCTGTCTGTCGGCAAAGAGAGCTGAGGCTGCAGCATTGGCAGTGCCATGGAGCCTCGGATGCTAGAGCATTCTGTGCAGCTCGCCAGAAAGACCTCTCCAGCCAGGGTGACAATGGTCTCCTCAAGGGTGTGAGTGATCCAGGGCCTGCCCTAGACCTCAACCGAACTCTGTGATAGCTCCCATCATAGCAACCCCCGCTCCAATACACTCTCACATCTCTGTGCCTGCTGACTGACAGGGCACCCTCAGTCTAGGCCCCCACAACCCAGGTTCTGCAGGGGACCAAAGCCCAGTCCCTGTCTTCCACTCCTGACCATCCTGCTCTTTACAAGGAAGCTGACATCGCTACAAAGGGACAGAGGTCCCATAACAGACTCAAGCTTCCAACCCGAACGTCCAAGACCGTACGGAATCCCTTCCTTAACCCCAGGAACCCTTACCTCTCTGTGACTGGAGAGCCCTCGGGCTTCCGGGAGATGATGTAGCGGCAGCTCAGCCCCGCGTCCTTCACCATCTGATCCCCCAGGAACTCAGCCAGGCGTTTGGCCGTGCTGATAGACGTGGACTTCTGCTCCCCATAATCTTCCAGCTTCCGAGACATGGAGCGGTTCTCAGAGATCAGCTCAAACAGCTCAGAATCAGGCATGTTCGCGGCCTGGAGAGGCAACGAGCAGATCACACAGAAGGAACAGAGCGCTCTCCCAAGCTCACTGGTACATCTCCCCCGAGTAGCGAGCTTCTCCAGCCTGATGGGCTGAAGGCAGCGGTACAACACGGTTGTCTCATGCCAGTGAGTAGCAATGCTACAAACCCACACACAAAACCTTAAATTCCATTTTGTCGAACTATGTGGAAAACATTAAAAGACATTTACTGAGCTACTGACACCAAAGTTAACAGAAAAAGAGGAAAGACAGAATTAGTGATATTTTTCTCCTAAAACAAAAAGAAAACTAGGGAAAGGAGGAGCCAGGAAAAAGGAGAGACACTAGCCCCCTGGAGAGCCATGGGACTAAGAAGGGAGGAGTCAGAGCAGTCTGAGGACAAATAGCTATATCTGTACCTGTGCACATGCACCCCTGACCCCCCGGCCCTGCTGTCCCATGTGCACACATCCCTGACCCCCCAGCCCTGACATCCTGGAAGATTTGTTTGGATCCTGTTTCCTGTGTTTTTCTCTCTTGGTGCTTACTGTCATGTATGGGCCAACTCTACAGAACAAGACAATATGCCTCAAGCTGCAGCAGCCCACAAAGCAAAGGAAGCCAGAAAAGTTCTAGAATATCCATCCCAGTATTCCTTTCGCTTAGAAAACATTAAAATAGTGAAAAAAGCCTATATGATACCCAACATTTACAGATTAAATTAAGTAGTGCAAACTTGACAAACACAGACTAAAGAGTAACAAATAATGATAGATCCCATGAGAAGGTATGTTGCAAGGTAAGCCAACACTGTCATTTAAATTGTAGAAATTGCATATTCATTAACAGGGCCTACAAAGTAAAAAAAAATCAAAGAAACTGATGGGATCACTGGTAAAGTTTTCTCTTACAAATCCTTTCACTATGCTAGGTGCCTCCTTCCTGGAATTCTGTCACTGGGCACAGGGTCCGACCGAGAGGGACTGAGAGGCACCGACTATGAAGCCCTGTTTCATCAGAATCAGCCCTGACTCACCCTGTTCGCCAGGAGCCTGCAGGACCCTCACGGCCAGGTGGAGGGCGGCTCACCTTACTGTACAGCACGTCCAGCCAGTAGTCAGCCACCTTGGCGACGGAGCCATACACTTCTTCTAGGGTGCTGCCCTTGAGGAAGGCCTCAAACACTGAGGACTGGAAGATTTTAATCAGCTGCAGCTCCCCCCGGCGTTTGATCTCGAAGCCCTTTAGCTCAGCCAGGGAACCGTCCTCGTTGAAGACAGCATATCTGGAATCATAGGCGAGCCCAGCGGTGAATGGGGGCCTGGGATGCTGGCTGTTAGTCACTGGCTCTCCACCTTCCCCTTCCCCGTCCAACCCTCCCCTCCAGCATGTACTAGACAGCAAACATCTCCCCACCCTGAGGTTCATATTTCTGACATAAAAACAACATAAGAGGCTGCAGCCTGTAGAACGAGAATCTAGCAGGTGGAGAGCAGAGATGGCGGGATCTGTGTTGGCGACAGCTTTCCATACTGAAACAAAAAGGTCAAGAAACAGAAGTAGTCCCATCTGGCCTCCTGGTCCACTTCCCGGATGGGTTGTTAAATCTCATTCATTTTCTCCCCAAGCACAAAGGCTGTGGGATTCCTACCTCTTCTTCAGTTTCTTGCCCTCTTCCTTGGAGGCTGGAAGGATCATGGCAAGGTAGGGTCCATCAACCTCAAAAAAGATGCTGTTCTCTGAGCGGGTGACATAGGTGAGTGAGGCTGGCTCAGTCAGCTCCTGGTACTGATCATTGGTGAAGCCTTCCTGCATAACAAGAGGAAGTGGAGGCAGCTTCACTCCTGACCATCCAAACCTCAAAGGGACTAGTTGCCTGTGAGGACTGACCAGACCAGCGAACTGGGTTTCTTCCATACAGTGGACACCACTCAGCCAGAGAAAGAGGCCAAGTTGTGACATGTGCCAGAAGTGGATGAACCCAAACACATTCTGCCAAGCCCAGAAGCTTATACACCTTGTTTCCATTCACAGGACATTCTGGAAAAGGCAGAATTAGCGTTGCAAAGGAACACACTAGGTAGCCAGGGTCTAGGGGAAGAGAGGGAGAAAGGCTGGTGATAGAGGCAGCACTCGGGAACTTCTGAGGGGTGGAACTTTTCCATGTTCTCTGCGGTGGTGGAAACAGGACCCTGTGTGGCTCAAAACCCACAGAACTGCACTCTACGAAGCGTGAATTTTACTGTAAGCAAATTAAAAAGCATCCAACCAGGATGTCGGGCAACCCCAAGGGAAACTGCAGACTGGGACAAACAATCCCACTGAAGGGCCGGCTTCAGTCACTTTGGCAAACCTGGTTGTGACGAGGTAATACAGACTAAAGACAGTAGCAACTATACACACACACTGTGCCGTAGTCGGTTAAGTTTACAGCACACGGCGGCACGATCCTGAAGCCGTTTTACAATTTTACACACACACTAGTGAACAAATAAACATATTGAGAAAATGAGGGACAGGCTTCTCGCTGCAAGAGAAAGAAGTGACTAACGGAAAGGGGACTAGATTGGGGCTGGACATATAGATGTAGACTCGTGTCCTTTATGTACATACGTATGTTTTTTAAATGTTTTGAGAGAGAGAGCGCGCGCGCGCACGTGCGTGTGACAGAGAGTGTGAGTGGAGAAAAGGGGTGGAGAGGGAGAGGGAGAGAGAATCCTAAGTAGGCTCCATGCCCAGTGCACAGCCCAATGTGGAGTGTGATCCCACAACTCCGGGACCATGACTTGAGTCGAAACCAAGAGTCGGCCACTCAACTGACTGAGCCATCCAGGCTCCCTTTGCATTTCGTACTTTAAAGTGCACACACAGGGGCGCCTGGGTGGCTCAGTCAGTTGAGTGTCCGACTTCGGCTCAGGTCATGATTTCACGGCTTGTGGGTTCGAGCCCCACATCTGGCTTTGTACTGACAGCTCGGAGCCCAGAGCCTGCTTCTGATTCTGGGTCTCCCTCTCTCTCTCTGCCCTCTCCTGCTCATGCTGTCTCTGTCTCTCAAAAATAAACATTAAAAAAAAAATTAAAGTGCACACACAGAGAAATAAACCTAGATGCATGCGTGGACAGGGCGATCAGGCATATACATATCTCCTAGCTCAGTCTGAGAACAGCTAGAAGCAGTTACACCCAGCAGCAATGAGCATCTGCACTTGACCTTGGTTTCCAATACCCTCTCCAATAAAAGGAACCTGGTTCCTCAGAGAAATGGCGGATTCCAGGGTGAGGACTAGGATAACCAAGATGAGGCTAGAGTGCCTTCAGGACCAAGAAGTAAGAAAGTGCTAAAGAAATAAATTAAAAATGCCCCAAACCCGAACCACAGACCAGGGACATGTGTCAGGAATACGTAGGCAAATGTGAAGGAGGCCCTAGCAGCCCAGGAGGAATGAGCTGAGTCACAAAACACCAGGGCAGGCCTGGGTTGTAACCCAGTCTAACCAATATCGACGACGAAGAGAACTGCTGAGTGGAAAGAGGGGTGATACGCTTCCTTATAGAGGGATTCCAATAAATGTACCAGGACTGTGGGAAAGCGGGAGCCACCATTGGGGAAAGTCACCGCAGAACCACCGTCACTCAAACCAGTGAAAATTAGGGAGACACAGGACATCTGCACAGTCTCAAGTATCTCCTCTAGGGTTCTTCAAGGCTCTGGTGGCTTTAACACATGGCCAGACTCTCTGACACCCCTGCCCGCCGGCGTAGGCTCAATGCCTCGCTCCAGCAGCAGTACAGGGCGGGGAGACCGCAGCTGTGCCCGGTGACCAGAAGCGCAGACCCTGACACCATGCAGCCAAAGAATGAAACACGGGTCATATCGCTAGCATGCCTTAAAAAATGCAAATAGGGGCGCCTGGGTGGCGCAGTCGGTTAAGCGTCCGACTTCAGCCAGGTCGCGATCTCGCGGTCCGTGAGTTCGAGCCCCGCGTCGGGCTCTGGGCTGATGGCTCAGAGCCTGGAGCCTGTTTCCGATTCTGTGTCTCCCTCTCTCTCTGCCCCTCGCCCGTTCATGCTCTGTCTCTCTCTGTCCCAAAAATAAA